GTCGGTGAAGTATGCATCGTTGAACGAATAAGGGGCAACGACGTTGGTCATTTGCTCGCCATGAAGTCCAACGGTGCCTTCGGGCGACAATCCAAGCAGATTGTTCTGGGTTGGAGGATGGATGTTCCCAAGACCGTTGCCAGTATTTTCGATGTTCGGTAGTATGTTGCTTGGCATTTGTATCTGATGAGATCCGAGAGGACTGCCACTCGGTTTGGGCATTTGAGGTGAGAAGCTGTGTAATCCCATAGTTTGCTGTCGAAGCGGGCTTCCATAATCCCTTGAACTCTGAGCCATGGGAACAAGCGGTTGAAGAGAATTGTTCATAGCAAGAGAGTTCTGGAAGGCGTGGTTCGGTATTCCCATGAGATGTTGTTGAACGTGACTGACGTTGTTCAAAGGATTTGAGGTTTGGCTGTTGGGCGCGCTGTTGGTGGCATTTCCTGTGAAGTCGTTTTGAATGAAACTCGTGTGGTACTTTGAGTTTCGATCCATAATTAATCCGTGAAGCGTTGCAATATGGACAGGTGTTGATGTCGACTAGAGCTCCGATGAAGTTGTTGAAGAGAGAAAGAGTCCTTAATTGTCGCTCAGGTCTCTGTATTGGCTGATTTTGTCTCTCAGGTGCGGGTTAAGTCGATATGGATGACGGGGTCCGAAGGGATCTTGTGAATCTGTCCAAGATTCGATGAGGCTGTCTATCAACAGATTGAATGAAATCTGTGATGATCGTGTCCGTAAAATTGACTGGCGGAGATCGAAAGGGGTGACGCCTCTTGAAGTACGAGGGCAGTGCACAAAGAAGTCTTCACTGCACAGCACACGGTGTTACTAGGTTCAGGCAATGTGCATGATTCAAATTCTACTAACCTGTGAAGATCCGCAAAGCTCACTTTCTGTATGCAGCAAACGGGATTGAGGAGGGCGCAGTTTTCATGCCGTTTGGCTCTTGACGATTCCAGGTGTAGATGTCGTGTCTGATGAAGTGAATTTCAATATCCAGGAAGAAGCAGGATGGTAAGGTCGGTCACGAAGAGAAGAACACTTCAAGCAGGAAATTGTCTCAAGGCACCACAAAAGGGACCTGCTTCGTGGACGGCCAGCGCGCCCGCGACACTGCAACATTCTGTTGCGAGAACACAAAGTCTGGTACAGGGCGCAGACCGTGTGTTCGCACCTGGACTGTCTCGGTCAATCCAGTGGTTCCATACTTTTGGTGGGTTACCACTCACCTTTTGGTGCTGCCATTCTGGCACCGCGTCTCACAGCAAAAACCCAAAAAGCAGTCCATAGCATAAGGAGCCACACCGGACCAAAAAAAACACGTCTTGTCAACTTGTAATAGCACGGCTGCAAAGCTTCCACCTCTTGAACCAACCTTGACTTATTCAACCGTTGTTTACCCGCCTGGTTCGTGCAAGAGCGGGACCATCATTTGGACTGTACAAATCGGGAATAAGAGCATGATGGTCGACATTGCTGGCGTTTTGTTGGGAAAATCTCTCAACTGATGGCCTTGTGATTGCGGTCTGGGAGCGACGGCGTCTGTGTGGGCGACATTGACGGCCATATGATTTGATATATATACGAGCATGAATGGAGAGATGAAGTCGGAAAGAGTCCACACACACACGGAGATATTTAAGCGAGAACCAGCCTTATTTTTGTGCATCGCTCATTGGCTCGTTTACCTGCGGCCTGTCTTAAAGCAGCGGGCTGCATTTCTGCGGTACTACGAGGCTCTGACGCCTTGAGGTACGAGGCTGGCGTTACTGGTCGTCACAAAAGAATCTCATCCCCGCACCCATCTCCATCTCCAGCCTGTGCATCAACACAACCAGCATCCACAAGACTGAAAGCTGTACCAAGTACAAAGCCCGACATCAGAGGCGGCGCCTGGGGGCCATGAGCCGTCAAAATGAGCGTCATATTGTGTACAGGTATTGTTCTTCTCGCTGTCGCAAATGTTGGGCAAGAGGCTAATCCTTACTTCAGCTGGCTATGACCATACTATTAGGTGCGCCCTCTGCCTTGTTCCCTCACCTTCGCTTTCAAAATTGACCTTTGCTCGTGTCCTGTAGATTCTGGGAAGCACTGTCAGGGATATGTTCAAGAACAATTCAACATCCGGAATCACAAGTCAACAGACTATGTATCACACCAGACAAAAAGTACCTGGCGGCTGCGGGTCGTCATATGGTGCGTCTCTACGACATCAAGTCCAGCAATCCCAACCCTATCATGCAGTTCGAGGGCCACACGAACAATGTGACTGGTGTCGCGTTTCACTGTGAAGGGAAGTGGATGGTCACTAGTTCCGAAGACTGCACAGTAAGAGTTTGGGATACCAGGTCGGGGATGGTTCAGAGAAACTATCAACACTCGCATCCAGTAAATGACGTGGTGATTCATCCAAATCAAGGAGAGCTGGTCAGCTGTGACCGAGGGGGGAATATTCGCATTTGGGATTTGGGCGCAAGTCGGTGTACCCATCAGCTTGTCCCTGTGGAAGACATTTCCATGGCCAGCGTGAGCGTTGCGAGTGATGGCTCTCTACTGGCTGCGGGAAACAATCTGGTAGGTTGAAGGATGTTGGGTTTCGACAACAAGGGCAAAGCTCACAATGCTTCTCTAGGGCGACGTCTACATCTGGCGCGTATACCAAAACCACGACTCAACCACCCTTCTCCCTTGCCGCGCATTCAAGGCCCACAAGGATTACCTCACGCGCCTTCTTCTGTCGCCAGATATAAAATACCTTGCGACATGTAGCTCCGACCATACCGTGCGCGTCTGGAAGATCGACATGAACGAGGAACATTTGGAAGATCTCAATGAACCCCAGAATCCACCAATATCACAGCAACAGCAAGAAGCGCCAGCAAAGCAAACAGGACCACTCCCAAACAATCCCAACACAATCACACTCTCGCACTCGCAACCTTCCCTGCCGAGTGCCGAAAATGACAAGCACACCGACTCCTCCCCAGACCCAAAACTGTCCCACTCCACCCCTTCTCTCGCCTCGACTGCTTCCCAACAATTCCGCCCCACCACAGACCTCATCTCCCTCCGCCGTCCGCTCCCCTGTCACGCCATATTGGACATCCACCAACGCTGGGTCTGGGATTGTGCCTTCAGCGCTGACTCCGCGTATCTTGTCACTGTCTGCTCCGACCACTACGCTCGCCTCTGGGAGATCCTTACGGGGAAAATCATCAGGCAGTATAGCGGCCATCACAGGGGCGCGGTCTGTGTCGCGTTGAATGATTACAGCAATCCGCCTTAGGGAACGGATTGGGAGGAGAGGAACGACGTGGACGAGTTTGAGTGCAAGGAAAATGGGAATGACAGCGGTGAACCCGACACTGAAGACGACCAGGATGGCGGAGTAGCATTGAGTCTGTTGTACCCCGACAGCCGCAACACCAACGGGACGTAGGAATGGCTCTGTCCTTTGCTCGCTATGATTGAGAGACAGATTTAGGACAGCCGTGGATCGAACAGAGTCTTTTTTTCGGGGGATTTTACTTGGGGGACGGATAAGAGATAGGACCTGAAGGGAGCTCGGAGTTTGATGAATGAGACTCCTACCTTGTGCACAACGGGACACCTGGTAGCGAATATCGTGATTATGGAACACAAGGCCCGGACCGTAATGTAGCACACGGGCCAGAGATAGCTTTACATGTCCTTTCAAAAAACCCCAAAGATACATCAGCACGACGTATCGATGAAGTCGAGATAGGACTTATCGCCTACAAAAGGATCAATTATAGGTGTCAAGTATGCTCTGTTCGTGCACTATTGATTTGTTTTTCTTTTTTTCCTTTTCTTCTTTGGTCTGCGCGTGATAAACCACAAATGAGCACCTCCAGAAGAGGGATGCTCTGATATTGCAAAGGCGTAGGAAGCTCGGGAGTCTAGAGCTCCAGGCCGGGGTACAACACCCACACCAATGAATGCCACCGTAGATCCGTCGCCAGATTTCTGTGATGCTCTCTTCTCGACCCTAAAGCGGCCCCCCGGAGCCCTCGACTCTCTTTCCATGTGTCCATATCTCCCTCTCTTTCATTCTGTCAACGGCTCGGGCTTGTCGTCCTCATCGGTAGGCCACCGCCTGTTTCTGTTCTCCACGTTCGAGCCGCCATGCCTACGACTCGACCACCCTAAGCACGAAGTTGACAATGACAGCTGCGAGAAGGGCGACGGCCAGCACAGTCGGTCCAATCCGGTCGTCGAACCCACCCTGGCCCCTGACTCGGATAGCCTTCGCTCGCCAGTGGAACGTTACGAGTGCGTATATCATGGCCGCCATGGCCACCAGGGTGAAGAGTCCCGCGGATATGCGGCCGACCGAGTCTCCGAAGTTGAGGAGGCCGACGGCCAGCCCTCCCAGGATGACGGTGAAATTGAGCCACGAGAGGAAGGTCCGCTCATTGGCAAAGAAGACCTTGGGCTCGACGCGCGTCGGCAGGGCGATGCGTTTGCCTGGCCCGGTTGAAACTGTTAGTCGCAAAAGTCATGCGTTCAAACAAAAGACACCGGGTTGGGTGGGCATTGGAGCAAGCAACCTTACCGGGGGCGCTCTGAAGAAGTGGTTGTTCGGACATTTTCGGCCTGTCGTATACTGGGATAGCTATAAACTGGTAACAGTGCTGGTGATGGGAGCTTGGTTTTTTGGGAGATTGGTCAAAGTTATGAAAGCGGTAACATATGTATGGTTGTAACCTCTTGTCGTTTTCTCTGCAAAAGAAGTTGGTCTCCTGCGGAAACCCAAAAGACTCGCAGGTCTCGGGGTAAGTTCGAGGAACAAGCTTTCGCTTTTACCTGTGAGCTGCTGCGAAAACTCGCCTAGGGACACAATCCTCTGCGGGGAGAGAGGCACCTGCTCTCACCTAAGCTTCTCATTCGCCCTGCCCCTCTCCTAAGCTTTCTCGCCTTTTCCAGGGGCACCCGTGGGTGTGTCTGCTTCACCGTGGGCGCCAGTGGGGGACAAGATGTCGACTCTACTGCGGAGGGTTAAGTCCACCATTACCAGTTTTGACCCTTCTCAAAATAATCAACCTCAGGGTGCATTGCATACAGTCGATCAACCAGGCAAGCCAGCAAAGCGACACCGACTGCGAAAACACCACGACTCCAACCCGAACCTGCTTGACTTAGGTCCCAATAAGCGCATCTTCACATTACGCCAAACCCAACATCCTCCAGAACACGGGACTCTCGCCGAGTTTCGACGTCGACTTGCGCGAAAAGCCTCGACCTTCAGTTTGAGAACTAGACATCGTCAGGGAGAGCGTGAGCAGGACGAGCTGGTCAAGGAAGAAGAGAAGTTTAGAGAATCGGTACTAGTGGGAAGCGAAAAGGGAAGCCCTACGAGGAAGTCGCAGGAACAACCAGACAGCGCGCCGCGAGAGACCAGACTCCAAGGCGAAGAGAAAGCGTGCAGACCTGCAGGGAACGGGCCAGACGAGCAGCCACACACGAGAGAGTCCTCTGTGACAACAGTTGCCCCTTGCGACCCAGCTTCTACACTTTCTGTCAAAGAACATCCATCGCTTTTCAAAACAGACTCACACCCTACACCTGATATTTCCACTGCGTCGCACGATCTGCTCCGCAAAACCCAATCTACATACATCACCAAATACGTGGCAGGAGGAAAGATCGCTGTTAAGAAAATGGCATCGGATCAAGCACCCCCTCCCGTGCCCTACACCCGTCTCAAGGAGATCACAGAGAACGTAAGTCGCACTTCGGCCAACCACCGTGAGGGTGTCCAAAAGCTGTACATTGCAGGGCGCTAACTTCTCGGTTTCTGGCCGGATAGGCATGCGAAGCCGCCCTTTCAGGGGCAACGTCTTACTCGCACTCAGAAACTGAAGGTTGGAACACAATGATCATCAACAGCATCCTGGGGGCTCTCGTGGAAGAGACAACGGTAAAGCCCGCTCCTGGATCATCGACGACCAGCCAACCACAATACAAATACGTGGTGAACAGCACAATCATCCAGCACGCGGCCCCCTCTCCGGCCTCGACCGGCGACGACACAAAGAAAACGAGTGGTCGTCGAGGCATGCACGCGGCAAGTGGAGCCTACTGGAACAACGAAAAGGATGGTATGTGGAGCTTCAAGTACCCTGGTGCCGATAGCAAGGGCTTGGATGTGGTCGTCGGCATTATCTGGGTCTGGGTCGGGTGAAAGGCATCTTGACCGGCTCTTGCCTGACGGACAGCAAAGCGGATGGACGGCGTTATGCAGCATTCCTTGATTCGGAGCACCTTCGGACCACTGATATGGACTTTCATTGGCCAAGCAATGTGCAGCAAAGCCCATGGTCTTTGGAAATTGCAAACTTCACTGGGAACAAGACTCGGGGGGAGGCATTAGGCGTGCCGGGCTTTTTATGTCAAGCGAACGAATGTTGCTTTCCCACGCGGTCGTTTTCTGAGTTGTTGGTTATGGGTGGCTGTGCTGGGCGTTGAAATGCAACGGTGGTGCGGGAAATTCTTTACTTTGGCATCAGGGGGGAAACGTGCTCGTCATGCAGTCAAAAATCCAATGCGAAGCCGGTGCGGACGATGATTTGGTGGAAGGCTCACCATGTAATGTTTTGCTGGACCGTTAGCAGGAACGGCCTTCGAGCCAGTTGTTTTCCACTCAACCATTGAATGATTGATGGAGAAAATTTCCCTCACTTCGCATCAAGTCCGATTTCCGGGTCTGTTTGTGGGTTACGGGGACGCACCCAGCAGCCCTAAACGGTTGTCTCTGTCGCCACTGATTCGGGCTCTGCCAATCTTTTTTTCCCGAGCTTTGGGGATAAACTTTGCTAGGAATTCGGGTTGTGAGTTGCTTAAAGTTCGTCGGCGCCTGACTCGGGTGACTGGGCGTCAACGATGAAGCTGGAGCTGGTGGACTTCAGCGCTTGATACGTGGTATGATATCAGCTGGAGGGAGATGTCTCAAGTCCCAAGGCTCCGCATAGGTTCATCCGCACCGTACTCGTACAAAACCTTGTGTACCTGTTTGTACCTATAGTACTTGTACACAGCATAATCAACCGACGGGACCCCCCAGCACGGTTTCGGTCTTCTCCCTGCCTTACGTACAAGATTTTGTCCTCGTCTTGTGCAGAGCAGTGAAACCCAAAAAAAAGAGACAACGTTCTCTTGGACGCTACTCCGCCCTGGGTTGTTTTGCAGTGCGCCTGTTAGAGTTTGAGAATGTGGTCTCTGGCCGCAAAAAAAAGGGCATTGGAAATGAGTCGGGTACCCCCATCTTGTGCGGCTTTTACTGGGTCCAGTAGAGGGATGTTTTTTCTTGCTAGGGGGCCAATGTACGGAGGATTGGATTGGAGTTCGGTGTCGCCGGTCGGCGTCACAGCACATGACTCCAGAATGAGAGAGGGGTCAGCTCAGATTTTCGAGAACTGGGGGAGGCTGTGATTTACATACAACCCTTCAAGATCGCGTATCGAATGTGCTGATCCTTCAGCATCGAGAACGGAGTGTCCGAACACGGCCTTGTAGAAAGCTCTTTCACTAATGGGTGTGATTGGCTCTGTGACATGAGGCTTAGTGTGGCTTTGATGGGGCTTGAACATGTCGGTCATTAGCCGAAACAGCACGCAATAACAATACCCAACTCAGGTGATGGGGATAATGAACAAATGGTGGGGGTAGCCGGAGAATTTTCTCCAATCCTGACTGGCAACCCGAAAGGGGTACATTCAGGTGTCTCTTTTGGGGTCAGAGATGCATCGCCATGATCGCTTAACTGTGGTCGGTTGGATGTCGAGATCGACGAGTTACTGGGTGCAGAGGAGACTGCGGTGGCCGCGTTTGGCACTAATCTGAATCTGACATCTCACGTACATAGTCTGAAATTGGACTTTGGTGAAGAAGGGTACACCGTGGTCTTTTTTCACAAGGACATTTGCTCTTTCTCTCTTTCCTGTCTCCAAATTCGGTAAACGGAATGTGCTGCTACTACGGCCACCACTCGGCGTCTGGAGGCGCAGGAATGGCAGCATTATTGATCGCTTAGGCGAATTTCAGCTCCATGGAATTCCAGGAAACGATCGGCAGTGACATAACTAGATTTGAATTAGACTTGAAACTTGTTTGCAGCAGGCACAATATCGAGGGGAAACCCCCTTTCCAGGAGATGCCTTCGTCAATACTGTAAGACGAAAGGAAGACCGGCCTTGTGATCTCAACGAGACTGACGCGTGGGCATGACACAGCTGGATCGAGATCAGCAAATATTTGACCTCGTTTGAACTGAGTAGCCCTTGATGCTGCCGCCCACCGGAGCCCGGTAGAGTGTTCCTTCCGACATCTTGCAGTCCCTATACAGGAAGCCTCATGTAGACATTGAGATCTCGAAGCTCTGTGCTGTTAGCTGCTAGAGGAGAAAGGGGGGTCACTAGGACATGAGAAGCAAGCTGGATTCCAGAGGCCAGATAGGGGCTCGAGAAAAAGTACCCAACAGGCCCCGATATGCTTGTTATAACGATGAGGCTTGAAAGCGGCTCCCCCTGGACTCGTTTCATGCCGAAAAGGCTGGTGGCTCGACCCAATAACCCAGCAACGCGGCACCAGCCGGGGTATACCAGGGACAGTATCAAAGCTGAGCAACAGGCGACTGGGTCAACTCGCTTGAAGCAGGGAAAATGGAGGCGTAGGCGAGGCGATATTATGAGGATGCCAACGGTTCCGAAATGGCATGGTCGAGGTCGCTAGCCAGTGCATCTCGTCCAATTCATCACTACTCGGCATACCTAGGCTTTCTCAATCCCACAGCCCGATCTCCGATGTAGAGGAATTCGGCATCTCCCGTGATAGACAGCTCTTCGCAGCACGCAGAGTCTCGTGGGCACGTTTGCTGTAATTTTGGCAATAGGAGGAAGTAACAAGCAGCGGTGAAAGGGAAAAACTTTGCATCTGGCCGCATTTCAACAACGTCAAGCATGTTCGTGCGGGATGTCGTTTTCAAAGACCCTTGTCCCCTGTCGTTGTACTGGCTGACTCTTTGCCTGGGGATCCTTGTTCAAGGTGCCTTCTGGTGGGCGGAAAAGGCCCGGGGGTACCTGTTAGGGCGCAGGGCACGGCAGGGCATCGAGATGGTTTGATGGAACAACTCGCAGGACCGTGTCCATAGAGTAACCACCTAGCTAGCACTTGTAAGTGAAGCGTGGATGATTCACCAACCCCCAGCCTTACCTGGTGACAGTCCGTGTGTCTTCGTTGTATACATGACCAGTCGAGTGCGGCTGAGCATCGTCAAGTGGTAGCATTCAAGGCCCCTCATGCTCGATCTGACCAGGTGTTTTCATGTGCTAATGTTTGTACATTTGGGTTTTGGGGATTAGAAAGTGAAAGAAAAAATGGCACAGTACGAGGTACTCGGCAGCTAGTACTGCACTGCGCCAAGTTGGTCGGCGTGCATTGGGTGCGCAGGTGGCTTGCAGCAAGGGCGAACTCTATGACACAGGCTTACTGGGGTTTCTCGCCCGGTCTCGACCCTTTGATGGCTGCTGCAACGCATTTTTGGTGTGATTCACTTGTCTTTTTGCTTTGTTGTTGGGCATCCCCCAGCCAGCTTGGGCTTGCTTGCAGCTCAGAAGCAGCCACGCAGCCTAATCCTCTCGCTGTCATAGCCACAGCAGATGCCCAAGTTCGCGAGACAGAGGTGCCAACTACGAGGGTATTTTCAGTCCGAACAGCTGATGTCAACATTGTCACCCAAAGGAGAAAACCAAGATGAAAAAAAATTGATGTGAGATCGGCTGCTGCAGCCTACTTGGGGTACAACCCGCCGTGGCATGGGCACGACTTGTTCTCGTGGCTTGTCATGGGCCCACGCCCTCTTCCTCCTTTCCCTGCATTTTCGGTTTTGTGCTACTCGTGCATGCTACCACCATCCACTGCATCTAGCAAAACTGACCATTTGGGTGCTTTCCTCCTATTCCTAGTCATTTAGTGGTCCCCTCGCAACTCTTTTCAACCCCCCTGTCCACTGCGCAACAGCTTTGCATCATGCTGCTCCTGTGCTCCAAATAGAAAGCATGCGCATTCGAAAGGACAACTAAGGTTCCGTCAACTCCCATATTGTCTCCTAGCACCCGCTCGACGATGTACCCCCAACTCCTACTGCATGGAGTACAGCTGGGATGCAGTAGCTGACCCTGTGATGCAGAGGACCGATAGTGGTTAGACCTTCTCATCCCTCAGTCAAGGACAATGGAAACACCAGCCCCAAGTCTTTTTTTTCGGGCAATTGTATTTCGATCGACCTACTCCACCAATCTATTGGTGCAAGCGAAATCCTACGGCTGCCAGATAGTCTAGTCTCGGCAGCGTCACCAAATACCTCGTACACTCCTACCCAAGGGCTTCATCCTCCTTCCTCCACGGGCCCGGTCACTGCATAGTGGCAGCTCCAAATAGCCTGGCGAGCCGAGAAAGAAGTTCGCTTATGGGTTTACTACTCGTATGCGGAGAACAAGTCCCTCGAAGCCATCGGTGGGGCGCGGGATGCTATGTCAACCCGAGTTTTTGAGGTTCAGATGGCTGTGCGCTACCATAGTGGGCAGCGGCGGCGGGTTTGCAAAAGATGGTGCGCCCTGGTGCTTCTTCCACTCGTTGTCGTCATACCTTGGGATAAGGGACCTTTGTGAGTGGTTAGGGCCTTGGGGTACATCGATGGATCTCAAACCATTACAGCTGAATAGGTCAGCCCATACCCTACCCCGTACAACCAGCTAACGGCGCCGAGCGCTGCAATGCAAGCTGGACCGCGTGGCAATTCTCCCCAAACTCTCGACGGATATGCTTCTCCTGGCATGGCTTCGGTCTGATTGCTTGGGTTTACAGTGGATTTTCTTGGAGGCTCCCGCGGCTGAAAAAAAAAACAAGAGCAAAAGGCCCACCTACAACTCGTCATGGGTCGCCGGCTTGATTGGCCTGATTGGGCAGCCAATCTCAGAACTAACCTGGCGACTAGTAGTGAAGTATCCTCACACTTAAAATCCTTCTTCTGGGCCGTGGCCTTGCCAACAAGCTCTGAGACTATGCCCATCTCAGCCTCCCTGCCGTCAAAATCTCAGATCCCCCTCCTCTAAGGCTTGCTATTTGCGCGGTGCCTGCGCTGCCCGTGTTCGACAACGAAGTGAGGTGTGACTGGATACCGAATCCACCCTTTTGTGGTCTTACCGTTTATGGCAGCCCGCACTCTGCCGAACGGCGGCCCCGGCCTGCGGACTGCGGCGATCTCGCGTCTGACGTCCCCCTATGGGAAGCCTACACAGGCTTCGGACCAAGGACGAGGTCCCAGGCGAGAAACCCTTGCTCACCTGGCGCCATGGTTTTGGTGCATTGTACCCTCGCTTTCCAATGGCTTCACTACGAACCCCTGCATGCCTCATTCCCAAGCTGGACCAGGTCAGTCTTGCCGAGACTCGAATGAGAACTTCACTGCCATCCTGGGATCCCTGGTCCCTCTTTGCTGTCTCCTTCTGCGCAGGCCCGGCTGCGTTGGATCCCCATCCACTTCGGCCAACGGCAGAGAAAACCAAACCCTACCAAAGCGGCTGTGGCTGACTATACTTTCCATTTCGCTCGCGGGACAGACCTGGCTGCCCTCCAGGACCACCAGGGCGGGTCCCCATTGCGAACACTCACCTAACCCAAATTTTGATAGACCTATATGTGTCAATCTGCTGGGTCCTCAGGGCAGTGTATCTCCACAGATATAGGCAAGTGACCGCCAGACTCATGAATCAATCAAGTTCCTCAGGCTCCGACTCGTCTATAACCGTTTGGCCATATTCGACTCAACTTGACTATTCGCAGGTCGGCCGTTGCGCTATTCTGCTCCCGATTCTCGCTGCTGCCCAATCAGACAGGCAACACTCGTCTTAAGACATTCGGATCATTTCATCTCCTTTTAATCCTGGACATATCGCTTCTGCCACGCCTTGCGTTACAATTTCCACAGGCTCTGTGCATCTCAGCTTTTTGTCCTCCACCTCTCACTGGAGGACCTTTTGCCAGGCGGCCACGCTTTGCTTTTGCGGATCCTTCCATTTGCGCCCGGCCTTACGTACTGGTCGAGCTGGTCCAAATCCACGTCAATGCAAGAAGCACCCAAGGGTACTTGAATGATGTCGGTCGCCACAGAGATCATCCATCAGACCAACAGTGAAATCATCCAAATCGTCGCCATGTCGGAGTCGGGCAGTGAAGCAAGCAAGGCAGCAAAGAAGAGGTATGTAGACACGTCCTCGTCTCATTTCTTCGGATGGGACTTTCGCTGATTACAGTTTCAGAGAATACAATCGCAACGCCCAGCGAGTGTTCCGTAAGTGGTGCTCTGCGCCTCCCGCGGAACGCCCCTCCTAAATTTGCCTCCGAACCAGGCACTAACTTTCCCACCAGGCCAAAGGCGAAAGGAACACCTGAACAAACTCGAAGCCGCTCAGCGCGAACTCAACAGTATTCAGGTGGAAGAAGTCGAACGGCTTCGTCGCGAGAACCAGGCACTTGCTCAGGAGAATGAGTCTCTGAAGGCTGCTTACGGGTCGCAAGCCAGCTCACCAGGTCCGACACTGAGCCCGAGTGAGGTCAGAGGGTCTCCTTCGGGATTTATGGCATATGGAGCTGCGCCCGCCGGCTACCTGAGTCCAGTTTCCGGGGCTCCTTCTTATGTTCCGGGCCCTGTCCCAGTCTCGTTACCTCAACCCGCCACGACGCCATTATCGAGCGCCAGCAGCGACCCCAGTACCCTCGTCGTTGTTGTCCCCAACAACATCCGCGAAATACGTCGGTCGCTCCACCAGATGTTCGCCCCCCTCCTCGAGATTCCCGTCATTTCCAATCCACAAACGCATTTGGCCACTCTGGCAGCCTTGGAACCATCACTACCAGGAGCCTTGAAGCCTTCGCAGCTCCAGCTGTCGACGCCGCATCATGCTTATATAGACATGATTCCTTCTCCCAGTCTCAGAGACCGACTTATTGCAATTGGCCCTGCAAATGCCAATACATTCTTAACAGAGGCTTGCACAATAGCATGCGACATTGAAGATACAGGTCAAATGATTGTGTGGGGCGAAGATTGGCTCAATGAATTTTCTTGGGAGTTTTCTGCCGGCGTTCTAGAACGCTGGGGAGGCTGGCTTCTTACTTCTGAATGGGGTCAGAGAGCCAACTTTTGGCGACGTCAAAGAGGAGTTCCGATTCTTCCGGGCTACGACTGATGAGTTGAGACGACAGTGTTTTGATCGCTTAATATCGACAGGCCCAGAGCTTGAAAAGTCGTCTTGCTCACATGGCGCCGTCCAGGCCAACGGCAGACTGGGGATACGGTACATTCAAAGTTGGGATATGTTGATGGGACTTTCATCGTCTACAAGGTAGTTCGATGTCTTGATGAGGAGGAGCCAGTCCTTTCCGGGTTGCAAGTTCAACTCGCTATCTATTCCAGGACCCGCCACCCTTCAAATCCGTGTTGGAAATGGGCGCAGGTCGCCTTTTCGATTCCCTTGAACTTGTCCAAGTCCATATTGTACAACTCTTGTCTACCCCTATATGTATAACAATGGAAAAAAAGCTCCCTTTCCTGCTTGCTAGGGTGCAGCATCGGATCTGGCCCTCGTCCGGTGGACCACCTCACGAAGGGTTTCGCGCTGTCTGTGGGAATCGCATCGCAATCACTGATGGGAGGACTGGAGTGCATCTTTGAGACAATGACTGTAGGTCTGTGGAAATTCCCAGTCCAATAACGTGGTCTCAGGTGGCGGGATGTGCCTGCGGCATCAGACTGTCAGTGAAAGTTGACGGGAGCTGGGAATAGAGCTGGATGTTTCAAGGTGAGCTTGATACCTCCCAGGATACATATTTGTGCTTCTGATCTGACTGGATTTCGAGGCAGTTCCTCGTGGTCAACTTGTCTTTGACGGGCGCAGTTGCAAACATTTTGAGACAAATACGTGTGGGTTATCTTGATCCGACGGATTTTACGTACAATGCCATCAGATATCTTCGGCATTACAAATCGGCATCACAACACGCTCAGATCCGCGCGACATTGATATAACAGGAAAACCTCCTGTTTCCAATTCCTGCGATATCAATGAAACCAGCGCAGGGCCTGATTCTTGAACAGATCCAGGCTAATGTGAGGCATGGAGGGACGTTATGAGGAGAAGATCCGGGCCGTCAGTAGCAGGGAAAGAATTTGCTCGAAGACTTGTGGGACAGATGGCGGAACTCTCTTGATTCCAATGAGTAGGCAACTCATCGATAACCGAAGCTTTGTATGCGGCATTTCAATCCTGCATATGCTTAGCTGGATGAATATTGGCCGTCTTCAGCCAGACCAACACGGCCTCCCTCAGAGCCCGACCAGTTGTAGCCAGACAACATCAAAGTTTAATCCTTTCGTCAATGAATCCATTGTTCTTCACTTCCTCGGTGGAAAGAACCTGTAACTGGTGCGAACGCTAAGAATCACACCGGTCGATTGGAAGATATGCCAACCAACAACCGATACCAAGCAAGCCCAGGAAACATATGGCTCAAACTCACCGTTGAAACACCAAGTCGACCACTCTTGGGATGAGGGCAATAGGTGGAATAGACGCCCAGTCAAACACCAGAAAAGCAGACTGAGACCATGACGGGCAGCTGATTTGATCAATGGCATATCGACTATTGAGCCTTAGGCACCAAAAGACTGTCCAATCAGACTCACGTATCTCGACCTGCCGCTGTGGGAAAGACGCTTGCCTCTGTCCTCTTTGGCTCTTCAACCAAGCCGTTTTGGGTCTTTGGGCCAGGTTTACCTTCACCAGTATTTGGACACCCCCTACCGACGTATCCTCTGACACGACACCACGACTGCCTCAAGTGCCTCAACGGTGATGTCAATGATGTTCTGAACACACTTTGCAAACTATGCCGACCATAAGGGGACAAAGATGCAGCCCCAAACACTCACCATCCGTTGCCTTGCCCGTTCTTTACAGCCTCGCTTCCGTTTGCTACCTGACTTTTGAATGCTATAGAGGGAACACAAATTCTGCAGCTGAGAGCATGCATGGCGCAAGAGGAGGCTCAATGCCACACATCATATCACATCCTCAGCTTTCATCGCTGTGGACGCCGTGGAGACAAGGGTCCCAAAGTGCTCGACACCAAGCAGCTCCTCAGGCAGACAAACACGGTGTCTGCTAGTCTCGACCCCCAGCTGTCCTGAAGCATTGAGTCCACGGAGTTGTGATGCGGTGAATCCGCTCTTGATGCAGAGTTCCTCTCGGATACCTATATCTGCCACATCAATAGGGCTCCAATCGCTCCACACACGCCATAGCACCGAAATACGAACTACACGAGTTTAGGCACCGATCTGAAATTGATCTGGATTTCTTTGCCTTTCCCCGCCCTCTCCGATGGCATTCTTCGTCTGGAGCCATTGACGAATCCAAGGATTGCTCGGCAATAATTTCCTCATACAAACTAGACTCTTGGTACCGACTAGCATGCCCCGGAAAATATCTCCAGAGGCGGTGTGGGGACTGATCTCTTCGTCTATCAAGATTCAGTCCAACCCGCGTCTGCGGTAGCCTCCCTGCGTTAGTCCCTGCTGATCATCCAATCAACTCTGGTCTCTGACGTTGCCTAATCGGCCTGTGGCGGAGACTCCCGATCGATGGAAACCAGGGCTGCTGTGGGCCGCAAGATCTGGAAAAGAAGGAATCATGATTCATGCCAGTGGTAACCGACAGGCAATCGATTGGATTTCTCTGCGAAGCCGACGGCAGAGATTTAGCTCTCCATTCACAAGGAGGATCGGCTTCCGGCCTGCTTGTATAGGAGTAGGGAATATGCTTGGGCGCCTCAATACCCCGGCTCGAAGAATTTGCCATGCCGAGGAATTCAGCTTGACTCCCGGCTCCCTGACGATCCTCATGCTTTTGTCCTCCTGTCACAATTCCTCGTTCGCTCATGGTCTTTCGTTTCTAGACACGCTTCCACCTCAGGCGATATTGTTGAAAGGATGGGCTGTGCGCTGGGGAAAGAGGACAGAAGGAGGAGGATGAGCCACCTCCGGGTCGAGAGGCGGCTCAGGCACGACCAACAATCTCGGAAAAAGGAGGTAAAGATCCTCATGCTAGGTTGGTGCCTTTGAGAAAATGTGAGCTGTGTCCGCGATACTGAACGTTCGGACAGGGGCTGGCGAATCTGGGAAATCCACCGTGCTGAAGCAGCTGAAACTCGTCAACGGAGGCGGCTATTCCGCCGACGAGCGTTGGTACTTCAAAGGGGTCATCTTCGCCAATATCTTCCAGTCCATGCAAGCCGTCTTGGAGGCCATGGATGTCCTTGGCATACCATTCTCAAACCCTGCGTCCGATCGGCACGCGTCGGCAGTCCTTTCACAAAGACAGAAGATGACTGCCGCAGAGTTATCTCCAGAGGTACACCACGCCATCAAGGCTCTTTGGGCCGATGCCGGTGTGAAAACCTGTCTCTCACGATGCAACGAATTCCAAGTCTCCGATTCTGCACGGTAGTACGTCGCCAGCACAGGGTGTTGGGCAGACCCACGGTTCACCTTTTAATTCCTTCTAAGATACTCTTTCTAATCATGGTGGCAGCTACTTTGACTCTATCGATCGGATCTCATCCCCGAACTTCGTCCCCGACGACCAAGACATCCTCCGGTCCCGGCAGAAGACCACTGGTGTTGCCGAGTTCGCCTTCGAATCAAACAAGGACACGGTCTACCGCGTCATCGACGTCGGCGGGCAGCGGTCTGAAAGAAAGAAATGGATGCACCACTTTGAGGATGTGGGCCTGGTCCTCTTTCTCGTCGCCCTGTCCGAGTACGACCAGATGCTCTACGAGGATGGCTCGGTCAACCGCCTGCAGGAGGCTATCAATCTTTTCCGCGACGTGTGTGAGTCCCGGTGGTTCACGCATTCGACGGTCCAATTGGTCTTCAACAAGACAGATCTCTTCCGGGAGAAGCTGTCTCACTCCCCACTCGAGGCTTTCTTCCCCGATTATGAAGGTAAGGATTCCCCTTCTTTGTCGCTCCCGGAACTTTGATTCCTCTACCAACGCTTCGTCTTGTGTGTCAGCTGCCCTTCCAACGTTGCGAGGTATTGTTGCTGACTTCGCGTGGGGGCATCCGGGGAATCAGGCGGGTCAGCCTACGATGCCGCCTCCCAATATATATCGGACAAATTCAAGTCGCCGAAGCAGGCGAGACATCCGGATTTCTTCATTTGCGCGACCGACACAGCGCAAATCAAGCCGTTGATGGGAAGAATCGTCGACACGATGGGAAAACGTTCAGGTCCGGCAGCCTCGGAAAGCGCGCGGCCATGACACCTGTAGCCCCGTTTCTGCAGAGAGCAAGTCCTACAAATCAGCATTTCCACAATACGAAGTATCTGAAGCTGGTGGGTGCCTGACCATCTATCCCCGGTCTGCTATTGGTTTCGGATGTGACTCTGTCGCAGAAATCCTCTGTTCGCTGTTCAGCAAAAGAATCCACTGTCAAAATCGCGCCGGGTGGGAGGCACCTATTCATTGGTGTAACTGGACCGCTCAACATAGCAATCATATTTCGTCGAGATCCAAATCATCCCACTTCTCGAGCAAATACTCCAAGCCAATGTTATCGATGTTCATCGACATGTTCTTATCGACGTCCATATTGGTGTCGGAATCGCCTAGTAAGTGGTTGCACTCGTCGGAGAGGATGATGCCATTCTCCTTGGCTTTGCGGCGCAGGAGGCGCAGGACCCCTCGACTCACGCGGAACCTCCGACTCGCTGCGCGGAGGTTGAGGCAAAGTTTGAAGAAGGCGTCTTGAGACTCGGGTCGGTCATTCAGTTCTTCGAGCAAGGTGAAAGCACCGATGGTGGCAGGCTGCATGATAATGACCGGGAAATGGTCTGCGCCCCAGTTCAAGCGCATTTGCTCGAGCAGGTTACTGATGTTTTTGGCGGCCGACATGCAGATTTCAATCCAATGGCTGCGCACCGAAGACTTCGGCGTCCGCGCCAGGGACGGTCGGTTCGATACCCCGGCGTCGAGGGCGGCTGTTTGTTTCGAAATTGTCAGGTTGACCCAACTGTGGAGTGCACTGTCGATAAGCGCAAGAGTACGAGGTACAAGACGTTAGCAACGAGAAAAAAGCTCTTCGCCGATGGATGGGGAAAATGGACCACAAATGAAGGCAGTTCCTCATTGAAGAAAATGGACTAGGGAGGCGTGGATACATGGCGCGGGGGGAACACAGGGTTTCAGCTTACTGCAAGGCAATGACATGGGGCATAGCGTTGTCATGCATCTTCATGCACTCTGGTAGATGGTCCGGCCAGTCCTCTACCTCGTGGTACACGCGTGTAAATTTGTCCTTTGCTCTGCCACCCTCGTTATTCTGTTTCTTCTCGAACAGTGTCTCGTCCAAGGTCGCCTTTTCGGCGAGCGAGATAAAGGCGAGATAGTGGCACTTGGGGTGCCACTCGAGACTCGGATGGGGGACGGGGTATGGGGCCCAGGACGACGCTCGCTGTTGTTGGCAGCCGCCGGACTGTGTGATGGGTTTCGGTCGCGACGGGCGGTCAAAGACGCGGACCTGCTTCAAGGCGAGGCCGATGAGCGGGTTGAGGGCGTACAGGGTCCACTCGAGCCGGCAGAGGCAGGAGTCGACCTTGGAGAGATACTCGTGGGTCATCAAGGGGTCGTGCTCGATCCTTTGACGCCACTTGCTCAGGCTCTTGGAGAGGAAGATCTGCTGGTACAGAACGCCGTTCCCTAGCTTGTCTTGACCGTTTATGTTGAGGCTGGGGGAACACGATGCGGCAGATTGTTTGTGAGCAAGGGGAAAAAAAAGCAGGAATTGAGACACATCGAGGGAATCAATCATGGTGTGCACCGCGCCGACTTACTAAGTCCACTGCACGCCCAACGTTGCCACCATGGCCAGAGACACTTGGCCTTCTTCGGCTTCGAGCCCCTTTTTGGCTTCGTTGTAGAAGTGGTCCCGAATCTCCATGTTGGGATCTGTGCCATCCTCTTCCAGGGTGTCGAGTAGCTATCATGTGGGCTGGAAGTCAGTTTCACTCTCGTTTGACAAATCTCATGGGTTTCTTTTAGTGGGAAGGGAAGGATTGGGATGAGACTGACACAGGCGTCGGCGAGGATCATATTGACCAAGTAGGGAGTGCATAGCAGGCTCGAAGGATCACCCGATCTCATGGCTTCGAGAAAGAGATCTTGGTCCACCCAGTGCCACCAGGGATGGGCCCAGGTAAACCAAAGAGAGATGAGGTGCGAGACGAAGTCGTCGTCGTCGGTGACGGTGGTCCACGGCTTCGCGGGCACGGATATCGGGGGGTTCACGATATCCTGGATCCGGCCTAGGCGGGCGCGGTGCCTTCTGTACGTCGCGGACGTCCCCTGGCGGTGGTTCTGGAGGTCCAGTTCTCTGATGCCACCGAACTCGTGTTCGAGGAAGCCGGCGAGGTCCTGTCGTCCAGTGTTGCTTCGTATCAGACTAATCAGAGCGTTCAGCTGGTATGGTCCTCCTGTGCGGATGGCGTGGAGCAGGGCATCCAGCAGATGGCGGTCTTTCTCCAATGATTCCAACCGTCGTTTGACCGCGAGCTTGCGCCGTCCGTCGTCATATTCGTCTTTGACACATTCGGTGTTTCGGGAAAGGCACGAAGCGCAAGGGACGCCGCCGTCACACTGGGACAAAAGTCAGCCACTCCCGCCGTCTCATTTTCGTTCCATCTCTCTCAGACACAACCACGGGCTTTGCGAGTGGCTTGAAGCACACGTACCTTGGTCCGGCGTCTCCTGCAAGCCAGGCACGCGAGGCTCACTTTCTTGCGAGATGAGGAGGGCTGGGGGGCATTGTCAGGGTCGGTGTCTGGAAGCGGGGCGAGTTCTTGGGACATGATTATGACCATTTAAAAAGAAGCCGAAAAAGAGATAAGGGACCGAGTTGGGGTTTCTTTCTTTTGGAGCAAGAAATGGGATGTAACGAGGGGAAATACAAGTTCTGTAAATGTATAATGGATCTTTGGTTTCGCAGTTGCTCGAAGCGAAGTCTTGGGAGGAGTAGTTCTTCAAAGTGTTTGGGGTGTAAGGCTCGCAGACTTTCTTTTTTCGCAGACTCCCACAGTCTTTCGCAGGCGAGACATGCATGACATCAATCCTTTTGCGCAGAAGCAGAAGCAAAAGCAAGGCAGAAGATCTGGATTGCTATGACGAAACCGAACATCACACAGCCCATCCAAATCGATTTTGACAATCCATCGGAAAACGCATCCGCGGGCTCGTTGGATCTGCCAGTCAATCGTTGCCCGCCCCGGAAATATCGTGCACGGGAGATCTGCGCGCGCTGGGTATAAAAGTATCGAGGAGGACCCGAGTTGCCTTCCGTGCTTCCCTACTGCACTGCTCTCTGAGCTCTGTTGTACTTGTTTCGTTTCCCTAGGGCTGACATGCTGAAATTTCCCCAGGGTCGTTCGTCTCGCCGATCGAGAATCCCAGACGGCTATGCATCCACACATGGTCGTGAGCTCGGTCTCTTCGGTGCCTGTTACGGTAGAAAGAAAACTATTCGTCAAACAAAAAAGCCGGTAACAGCTTGAATATGCAGATTTCTGGGGATGGAATGACTCTGTGGAAGGAAAGAATCACGCTGACCTGACAGGCTGACCACTGCTATGCTTCAGAGGGACAGCCCGATGGAACTACAGAGGATGATTGGACAGGCCGTCTTCAGCATCAAACACCAACGAAAGGTCCGATCGCCTGACCCAGCTCTATATCCGTGAGGCTGGAGTTGTCTATTCCTTCAAGCCAAGTCTGTAGCAACACTGTGACTTCTTGATGCCGGATAGACATGGGATAATTTGGCCGCGTGATATATTCGTTGGATTTCACAAGCTCGAGTTCGGCATCTTTCTCTCTCTGCTGGCTGTCTTTATCAGTCACGGAGGATGAAAGAAGATATCCGGTGGAGATATGACCGCCCCCCTCGTTTCCCTCACGAGTTGAACAAAAGGACGAACATAAGACATTTACGGATTGGCAGTCGAGCGGTACACGAAAGAAAAAAAAAAGAGGCGCGATTGGGATAATTACATACCACGATACGAGGGCGCGCACCAAAAGTACTGTTTACGCTAATTCAAATGACAAATATTACTTACTATGAAAGGAGATTTTCTGAGCTTGTAGGCACTCTTACCTATCTCTTAGCTATAAGTCAGATCTAATAGGCGGCCGCCTAACCTATATTTCCAGTCTCGCTAGGCGCTATAGGCGTTAAGTATTGAGCTCCGATATCTCCGGGGGTAGTTGTAAGGGGCAACGAAAATTAGGTCTATCGTCTTTTGATCATCTCGTCATTCACTTACTAGCGTTAACAATACTTTTGGTGGGCGCCTCGGTACACTGCTCGGAAACGGGGTCCGGATTAGCCCCCCCGAACTCGCTCCATGTGGTTTGATCTTCTCCACCCTTTCGACTACTGCCGGTCCAATGTTCCGAAGTGCAGAAACTGGTGCCATTGTTTTCTATTGACATGGCGCTAGCAGAGGGGTAAGTGACGTTTGAGCTGCTCTTCAACATGCTTCTCAATCTTGCTGAAGGCTCGACTTGCTGGTCATGCCTGGAGCATGCCTGGACGGTAGTCAGTTCGGCCACCTAGAAGTGGCGCGGGGAGACTTGGGCAGGTTTGATCTCAGAGCTCTCTGAACTTTCTCTACGTCGACGTCTTGAGCTTTGTAAGGGAGCAGGCTGTCAGTACACCACACACTAGAGTGGATAGCTGTTCACAATAATAGGCTATAGTTCATTGGTGGTGAACTTGTCTGAGCCTCGTCGGGAACACCCCGCACCAAGGTGCAGAGCGTTATACGGAGGATATATCTATGACTTCTGACCAACAATACGACGGTCTCTTGTTCGTGTATTGTTACCGCAGAGAGATCCAGCGATGGATGGCATGGGCCACTGGTCGGGGATGTTACTCCGCAGAGGCTGCGTTGTGAACAGACTCAGCAGTGCTGCTGTATGAA